ACACCTAACTTAGCCCCAAGCTTACAAAGATTTATGAGTTTAAACGGGCCTTCATACTGAAGCCTCCTTAGGCCAGTGCAGCCCATGGAGCTCTGATCCAGCTCGCCTTACATTGTCGGATAGGAAAGGACGTACCTGGGGCATTGTTTGTTTATTATATAATTAATTATATTTTATAAATATATGATTTATTATATAATAAAACCATAAACTCTTGGTAAAGAGTTTAGCAGCAGTCCAGGATCTGACATCGCTGAGAAACTTTTTTTTCCTGTCCTTTCAAATGACTGTCTCTCCCCCAGAGTTTTGTCAGTGCTTCCAGCTAATGCCCTCCTCCAGCAGAGGAAAACAGCTGGGTGGACGGATGGACTAAAAAGCTGCAGTCCCTCCGTAAAATCCATCGTCTCTTGCGACCAAAGGACTTGGGCCCAGGCAAGCAACGCTGTGTCTTGGTACAGTAATGCACTAGTACGTTCCTGTGTGGCAGTTGCGCGTTGCAGAATCACAGAATAATTGAGGTTGGAGGGCACCTCTGGAAATCATCTAGTCCACCTTTATGTGACGCAAGGACATGTCTGCCCCAGACGTCTCTTCTCCTCCTCCTCTGAGTGCTTGGCTGGTTATGCAGCTGGTGTACCTCCATGCAGTGCTTGTAGTTGGGTATTTTGGATCCTCACCCATACCCAGTGGGTGGTTGTCTATAAGTCTTCCCCTCATATACTCCCCCCCCCCTTTGTATTTCTCTCGGCCATTTGTGGAGTTGGAAGAAATGCTCACCACCTCCAGCATTTGAGATGCGATATGACCGTTTTCCCCATCTTGGTATCTTTTCTGTGACTTCTGAGATTTCCCTCTTTTGCTGGTTCCCTCTTACCGTTTGTTTTTGTCGTCGTCTTTTTTGCTTTCATTTCGTGCGGTGCCTGTGTCTCCTGTGGCCTTGGAGAATTGTGTTGCCTGCAGCAATCGCTCCTGCTGTTTCTGCTGCCTCTGAGAAGCTTGCGTTTCTGCTGTGAGCAACACGGGGAGGATTTTGAGCAGATTTCTGTCTGTGGGATCCATCTGTAGTTCCTTTTAAGGTCTACAGTAATCTGATGGCCGTTTATCAAACTAGAATTTCAAGACTGTTGCCATACTTTCTATGTGCAAATCGCTGAGGATCAGTTGTTGCTGAAAGCTACCCTAAAAGACTTGCTTGATGCACTGGACATACGAATGCGCTCCTGCCTCCTCCTCAGTCCTCAGATGGTCTGGTCTCTTTGGCTTTAGTCTTTTGCGACGTCCCGAAGATTGTCAAGCCTCTTTAAAAGAGAAGGTGGGGACTAGTGCGTCATTAGACCGTTTCGGGTCATCGAGTAAAACTTGGTTATTCCTTAGCTACTGAGGTGGAGAGCGTCCTTCTGATCTTTGCCTTTTTTCTCAAACCCTTATTTTTCCTAAGCAGAATGCACCCATTCGGCCACCTTCAGCCACCAGGAGCAGTCTCCTGAGAGTCAGCGGTTGCACCAGCGCTACTCCTCGGACATCAAAACAGTAATTAGTAATTATTTGAAGAAAAGAATGAATGAAGGCTGGAGAAGGTGACCCTTTAGTCAGTGACCGTGCCGCCTTAGCATGGAGACTGAGTCACATCTTCCAGTCGGCAAGAATTGTTCCAGCAGCTCAGTCAGGTCCCCTACATGGGAAGTATGTGTGATTCGTAGTCAGCTGGGACCCATTTCAATACAATGTCCTTTCCTTTGACCCGTTTGCACTTGCAAGAGGTTTTATGAAGGTGTGGGCCGTAGTTGTGTTGAGAAAAAACACAGGAAGTCAAGCTGCACAGTAGTGAAAATAAATGTTTTCTTTCGGTTTCTTGTAGACGTGATAGCGTTTCTCTATTGCTATCTGCAGAAGTACCTGTTAAAGTACAAGGCGCTGTTAGCGGGAACACGGCTGTTGTAGCTCTCCTTTTCCAGTCTAATCCATTGCCGATAATGCTTACAAAATATTTCACCTTTAATAATAACAAAGATCAAGAAAACTTTCATTTGGGGAATTTTTATGGTAACGTTCAGCACCTGACAGATCATTGTAAATACTGCCAGAAAATAAAAAAAAAAAAGCGTAAGTTAAATACGTTAGAAGATGCTGGTTTTATTTTCTTCGGTAACATTTGTGTCTGCAGTTATTAGGTAGCGTGGAAGTGAAATAGCCCGTTGCCTTGCTTTGCTCCACCGCTAGTAACTGTATGCTGGGGTGATTCACCCCAGTGCTGGTAATGAACACATGAAATGTATTGGGATATTGCTAGCTTTTGTTTTCGAGGGAAATGGCAAGTTCAAGCCAGGGCTGTTTCTTAAAGCTGGACTTCTCAAGACATTTCGAAAGCCGAGCTCCTTGGTGTACAGACCTCCTTCTCTCTTCATCTTAGATGTATGTTACGTTTTTACCTGTCAGAGAACTTCTCCCTGGTCAGTCGTGGCTAAGAAATGAAGATGATGTGATTAAGTCATCCGTTTTAATGTAATGCAGTAACTGCACACAGGAGCAGCCAGCGCTCTATTATCCACAAGTCCTTCCTGGACTTCTCTGGGGAGCTGCTGCACGAGAAGTTCTCATTTCCCAAATTGTTCTTAGACTCCATGGAATAATTTCCACGCCAAAAAGAGTTCATTTCATTCTATATACCCTCAAGAGAGATGGTTCTGTTAGAAAATGGATTAAACTCCTTTCCTTTCACATCTGTAAAGGGTACGTTGCCTCTTTTAAAGTTTGTAGAGCTGAAACGTTAACTAAGGAAGATCTTAAACTGTAAAAAACCGGTCTGATTTGGTGACATAATAGTATTTTCCTGCAGCTCTATCATGTAAAAATGGATTATTTGAAAATATGCCCTTCAACTTGAGATAGATATTTATTTAGAGACTGTGCTTACATTAGTTAATAGCGTACAGCGGGGCTGTTGTTATCCCCTTTTTGTGCGTCGGTCAAGCAGCGCAAGGCGGTTGGAAAGCTGGAGCACGCGACTGAGTGAAGAAGAAAGTGCTTTTCGAAGCAGCCCTTCAGTGGGGCTTTTCCGTGTTGTGGGCGGACAAGTCTTTGTCGCGTTGTCCAGAACTGCGTGTCCTAGGGGGCCAGCGGGTCTGGTCTCAGTCGTGGCAGCGTGCAAATCGTAATGAATGCCGCAAAGCCTGCGGAGTAAGTAGCAGTGTGCCCTTTCCTGCCATGCAGCATTGTTTGCTCCTAAAAAAAAAAAAAAAAAAATCAACAAAAAAAACCCCATGCCCCACTACCGCAACCACAGCCTCTTTGAGCTGCTGGCCATCATTTTAATTTAGTTCCCTGAAACGTAAGCTTCTCTCGTCTAAAATATACTTCCAGGTTAATCTGAATATTACCTGGTTTAGCCTCAGACTTTCCAACAGCAGCAGTGCTTCAGATTGCTCTTTTTGTACTGGAGATTAAGTCTAGGAGGATGAATCTTGCAGTTCGTGTCTTACCCGGAAGCCGGATAAGATTTCCCGTACTTGGTCGTCTTTTAGCAGGGTTAAGTGTCTGTTACTGTATTCTGGAAACTTTTTTTTTTGTTGACTAGCTTTCTGCTGGTTTGCCAGCATGTCATCCACGAGGTCTTTGTGTCCAAAATCAGTTATTTCCATGGAAGAAATGGGATCAGTTGTAAACCGAGTGAATCAGCCACGCATTGAAAGATGTTGATTAAAAGGATGGGTTTTCTATAGACCGGATCTTATAAAGTTGTAGCCCTTCCTGCTTGTTGCATTGATGTAGGGCAGGAGGGAAGAAGAGTGAGAATTTTCTGATTAACAATTTTAATTAACTTTTAATTGATTTTTTAGGAAGATAAATGGTTTCATTATAAAGTCTCTCAATGAGCACCTTTGCTGCTATTAAACATTCATGGAAATTTCCTGACAACTGTTCTGATAGCAAAACATAAAAATCTCTTACGATCTTCCCAGCTGTCGGTAGCCTCATTTATAAAGTGAAGCAAATGAAAATGCCTTGCTCCCGCAATGCCCTTTGTTTAATTTACGTGACCTGATTAATCATGCCTTAATTTAATTAAGGAGGAGGAACAAATAACAGATCAGCATTCAAATTATCTTGAGGTCCTTCCAGCTCCAGGAGAAAAATAATCTGATTTTGCCCATCGCTAGAAGGGCGGTTACGTAATGGCAAGATTTATTTACTGATACTTAAACGTGAGGCTTAGTTGAGTACGTGAGTACAAAGATACCAACCAAACAACATTGAAACAGTCTCTCCCCAACATTTTCAAAAATGGAATGGTGCTTATTTTTGCTCTTTGGAGATGCGTTTGTCCTTCTCTGAGACTTGAAGAAGGAGCATGAAACGTGACAGGGTTCGGTTCTGAAGAACATGAGAAACAAGAAATATCAAAATTTCAGTAGCTCTTTGGAGAGCAACAATTAAAATACCGGCAAAAGCGACAATTGCGTCAAATGAAAAGAAACTTTCTCACTAACACGTCCTTTCTAGTGGTCTGCTGAGCACATCCGTCTGAGCATAGATTGAGTAATGACTTGGAGAGCAATGAAGCACCTAAATCAAATAGCGTAAAACAAAAGTTCCCCTCGGATGCCACCTAGCCCTGACCCGTAGCTCAGCATCGTGTGTGTCTAAGTGACTTGAAAAGCATTGGGTGGGACTTGTGCTTATGCGCACAGTTGTCCGCGGCTGAGCCACCGAACGTGCCTTTTCCCCTGAAGTCCAGTTGGGATCCGGAAAAGAGACATTTCTGTCACTGTGAATCAATGTGTGTGTGTGTGTGTGTTTGTTTTTCCCCCTGTGGGATATTTTGTGTGTACTGTGCACCGGTGAGAGGTGAGCTGCACTACACCAGGACTGCCGAGTGGCCGCACAGCAGTTAGTACGCTGTAGGGTATTACCTCGGCTGGTCTTACTCCTCCCGTATAGGCATGTCCGTTGCGTTTCAGATGTGCTCTAAAATAAGTGCACTTTTTCTTCTGTTTCTTTAGGCTACGGACCCAGACGCTGGAGTGAACGGTCAAGTTCGTTACAGTTTGGCAAACTTCAACAGTCTTTTCCGGATCACGTCAAACGGTAGCATTTATACAGCGGTTAAACTGAACAGGGAAAGTAGGGACTATTATGAACTTACTGTGGAAGCGACGGATGGAGCTGTGGACCCCCGCCGCTCAACGCTAACTCTAGCGATCAAGGTGCTGGACATCGATGACAACAGCCCTGTTTTTACTAATTCTTCCTACACTGTCTGCGTGCCCGAAAACCTACCCCCTGGCACCGTCTTCCTGCAAATAGAGGTAAGAAAATCTCATGGCGCAAAGAAGAGGTTTCGCAAATGCTCTGCGGTACTAAACGCGTTCTTATTTAGCTTTTCAGTGAGACCGAAGTAAAAAAGGTTACAGACTGGGCTGGGTGAAGTTATCATAACCTGACGTGCTCTTTAGACAGGTACAGAAAAATACTTAGATGATGAGGTGAAGGTTTCCAAGTGAGCTACTGCTGCAATGTCTTTTCTTTTGAGAAAATGAACTACGCTACTATTGCAGTTTCTTGGCATAATGCTTGACGCTTCAAAGTGCTGCTGCTGCTGCTGTTGTTCTTGGAAGCTCGTCACGTTGTTCCTATCTTGACATTAGTAAAGATAGTTTACATTAACTGTAAAAGATAGGACTTTATTCAACTGATTTAGACAAGCGAGATGTCTTCTTCGCTCACATTATAGTCAACGGAGATGAGTTGCTTCCGGAAACAATTCATCCCATGCTTAGATCGTTGTCCAAGACCTTTGGAGTACAGCAGGCCCCTGGGGCTGTCGTCTTCTCTTCAGTGACCGTAAAAGAGACGCGGACAATTGAGAGTTAATTGTTCAAGGATAAGCTGTCTCCAAGGACAGCTGAGATTCACTTCCTGCAAGCTGCCTCTACATCTTCCTCGTGTTTCCGTCAGCATCCTTTAATGAGCAGAATCTGGTCCTGAGATGCTTTGGAGAGGAAAAATTTTCTCTGAGGCTGGCAGCAGCTAAAATCTTAAGTCAAATCAACAGTTAAAGTGATTGTAAACTGTTCATTATACTGATGAAAAAGAATTTTTTTTTTTTTGGGGGGGGGGGGGGGTCTAAATATCGGTCTCAAATACAAATATCCGTGCTGCCATCCTGGATGAGATCAAAGGTCTGTTTAGCCCAGGCAGACCAACTCTGGGGAAGAGCGCGAAAGCAAAACGAGTTTCTAGTCGCTGTTGCCTAGCATCTAGTGCTGGTATCAAGTGTTGGGTGGCTTCCTGAACCACTCCTGGTATCTTTGGATTTAATAACCTGATGTGGATTTTTCCTCTGTTTACGTAAAGTATAAAGCGTATCCAGTACTCTTAGAATAATATAACGAAACCAAACGTATTTCCAGTTGTCTGCTTTTTTGTGTTCTTTAGATAAATGAGATTTTTTTGTGTCTCTGTGAAAATAGATTTTTTTATTAGCTTGTAAGTAAATTTTTTTAATTTTTTTTTTTTTGTATTGCATTCTCCAGGCTAAAGACGTTGATCTTGGTTCTAACGTCACCTATCGGATACGAACCCAGGAAGCACTGCAGTATTTTGCACTGAACAAATACACGGGAGAGTTATCGCTTTTGAAGTCCTTGGATTATGAATCGTTCTCTGACACAGAAGCAACCTTCACCTTCCTAGTCGAAGCCTTCGACAGCAAGGGCACTATGCCTCCAGGGCTCGCTACTGTCACAGTGAGAGTGAAGGTAAGGGAAATAACTTGACGGTCCCTAGCGTCCTCTCCTATTTGGTACGAGATACCTCAGCAACCCTTAGAGGTGTCCCGATGAAACCCAGGAGCGTGGGAGCACATCTGCTTCCCTCCTTTTTCATTCGTGTGAAGCTACCGCCTTTTTCTGACGACGAGTTATGCAGTTAATTGTACGGTCTATAACGGCTGTAATCGTTCCGCTATATGGAATTACATAGTCAAATCTGGCTTCGTGGATTTATGAGGCGCAGGAATAGGTTGGCGAATACCAGACAGGCAGAAGGGTTTAGTCCGTTAGAACCTCGAGAAGGCTGAACGAAGTGCCCAGTGCAATTGTTTGCAAAAATGACGCCATCCCGTTTCAGTGAAAGCTCTCGTAAGTTGTAATTTTATGAACCGTTCGGGTGTACTGAGTGCTGATGTGGCCCACGAGCTCTTAGTTCCGGTTTGTGCTGCGTGAAAATACAGAGCGGCGAAAGGAGCAGGCTTCTGTAGTGCTTCTGCACAGTGAATTGTTTTAGCCGGTGAGTTAGAGCATCGCCTCTGCCTTTCGGTTATCTTGCTGGTAGTGTGGGGATAACGATGCTCTGTTTTTTTAAGGATCCACAAATGACAAGCACTGGTAGCTGAAACATTAGCGCTTTTACTACCTATCGTAGTTCAGTTGTTGTACTCATGTCTAAGAGGGGAACGTATTTTAGATGCTTTAAAGTGCGCTTCCTTGCATTTACGAAGGTGCGGTTCTTGAGCCGGTCAGTGAAATACTTTTGCCCGGTTGCTGCTTTTTTGTTGTCTGTCTTTGTCAGGGAAGAACAGAGCTGTGGGAGAGAGCGGAGTTTAATTATTGGTATTTTAGTTAGGAAGCAAAAGCTGTAACGTGAACAGAGGCACGGCTCACAAACGTGAGCCTCGCATCTGGCAACTTCAGTGTAAATGCAAGTCTGCTGCAATCACTTTGCATAAATGAATCGGTCTGTTGGGTTCAGCTTAGCGTGCATCTGCAGACACTAGCGATTGCGACGTGGTTTTGAGTAATTCTGTTTGTCAGATTCTCCTCGGCTCCAAATTATCCCAGGGAGAGAAAGTGTCTTGGGTTATTAACTTTGACCACAAAGGTGTAAGAGGGCCTCTGCCACGCTTTTCTGCCTCGGCAGAATTGCTCGAGTTGAGGCACAACACCGATACTTCCTACTAGCCTGTCCTCTTCCCCAGCAGTTTCCACGTCAATGCAAGAGAAAAATAGCTTTTGGCATCGTTCTCTGAGTCTCTTCTGTTGATACACTTAAGGAGGAAGTTGCTTGAGCTTGCTTTTTCTAGAAAAGCAACACAATGAATTTCTGAAAGAATCGTTTTTTTGTCTTCAAGTGGGAACATATTCGGCGAGAAGCTGCAGTCACGTCCTACAGGTGACGCAGCCACATGATGATGAGTTTGTAGTGTGTTCACGCATCGGGGAGTAGAGGGAAAGAACAGAATTCAGCTTGGTGGCATTAGTGTACAGCAGCTTGCTGAAAAGGCAGCAGGTGAGAGGCTATGACATGGGCCTGGAGCCAGGAATTGCAATTTCAGCAATAAAAAGCGGGTAAGTCAGGTACAGAACAGGGCCTGAAACTGAAGATGAGCAGGTTACATTTTAAATGAGAAAGAAAAGCAAAGAAAGGAGTAAAAGTGATCAGTGCCAGGCTGATTTTTGCAACAGATTAGTGGAGATAATTAAAGGCTGAGGTTACGATGATGTGTTCCAGCCACAAGTGACAGGCAAGAAGGTATTATCAGTGGCGGTCGAGAGCGAGAGAGCATGGGTGAAGGCTTGCCGAAGAACTCTCTTACAGATTGCGTTTCGTTGGGTAGACGTCCATGGCAGCCACACGTTACAGAGGTGCTACAGAGCTGTAGAGCGCTGGTCCTGCGGCAGGTCTAGAACCGAAGTAATTGTTACGTTTGAGCTTACAGATGCCCTTTCCAGAGATAAAAGGGAAGAAAGGATGGAGACCCAAATGAGAGCCTTGTGCTTCTCGTATGGGAGATGAGGAGGGATCCAGCAGAGGACATCCCGAAAGGGGGATTTGAGAGAAGGAGGAAGGGAGAGAGCATCAGGAGGAGGACAGAGCCCTGGAAGCCAAGGCAGAGCCAGGAGAGGAGCCAGGGCATCGGAGTGGAAAGCAACAGAGAAGTAGCAAGTGTGAGGCAACGTAGCTTGTGTTTGTTCTTAGTGGAAAAGGCTAACATCTCTTTCTTTGGAGGCGAAGATCTGCGCGTAAAGTAATGATGACTTACACGTCCCCCTTCCCTGCCTGTTTCTCTGCGGGTGCGTGAGACCCCCCTGGAGCTCCCTCCACTGCCGTAGAAAATGAAAGCATGTTTGCATACAGAATTGGTAACCTCCTGACTGTGAATTGTCCAGTCTTTTTTTCCCTACGTCTGTGCGTGAGCTTTGAAGCGTAACCAAAGCTGCCCGCAGCCGCGGATATGCTGCGTTAAGGGCCCCGCTCCGGCTTGCCCCCCGCCGCTGTGGAGCAGCTTCGCATCTGGGGCGTCCCAACCGGGACCTGCCCTCGGGGTGAAGAGCACTAAACAGCACGGAGAGAGGGCGCAGGGCCCCCGAGGACCGAGGTAGGGTGCCTCTTGCACAGACGCGACGTCAGCGCGGCATGGGAAGCTGCTGGAGGGGACCGATTCCTGTCCAGCAGCTCGGTGAGGATGTTCCTGGGCATAATTTATAGTTTTACCTTGATAATTAAGCTGTCTGCACAGGCAAGCAAATGAGTTTTAAAAAATGGCAATTTCTGCCAGACCTTCTACCGATTCAGAAAGCGTTTTGGGGGATGAGGGTGTCTCCGCGCGTAGACGCTAGGTGCACACGTTCTTACGTCGTCACGGGGCGCGCGTACCCTGCCGGGGCGCTGGGGGAGTGCCACCGTTGGGTGGACCCCGATGTGTCTTTTTCCTCTTAGTAAGTGTATTTTCATTTTGCTTAGGAGATGGTTTTGGAGCAGTTATTTTAATACAGGGTGTGCGACCCCAAAAAGGAAATACAGGAAGCGCGAACGCATTGCGGTCCCTGTACGGCTGGCAGACGTGAACGACTCCAAGTCGAGCTAGACAAAACAGAAGCGGGCATCAAGGCAGTAACGTCCTTAGGACCAAGCGGGGAATTTGAATAACCATTAGGGGTTCGCTTCCTGTAATCTCAGAGTACCGTTTGCGTTACGGAGGTCTCCGATCCTTTTGGACTCGTGCTGCTTTGTTAACGTTTGGCGTTTTTCACAGTCCCGCTCTTCACTGAAAGCACTGTAAGTTTTATTCCCCTAAGCGATTACGGACGGTGCCTGGCGGTGACGTGCGTCGTTCACGCGATAGCGAATGGAAAGAGCAGTAGCGCGGCGTCAGCTGGCCCTTTGCAGCCAGGCGGAGGGTGGGTGCACGCGGCAGCGGCCTCTTGGGACGCTTACTTGCAGCCTTTGGCATGACAAGCTGCAAATAGTTTATATTACCCTTTTCTGAACTTGATGAAAATGTAGACTGCAAAGCAGAATGCTCCCTACAGAAAAGAAAGAGACTTTAATCTGTTACCTATGTGTGGGTATTGAAGCATGTTTTTGGCTACCGCTGCAATTAAATGGCTCCGGTTTTTCTTTTTTTCCTGTCGTACAGATGACCTACGAGCTTTCCTTGGGAAGGAATTGAAAGATAAATTAATGAATTAACCCTGTGCTTGATGAGGAGATGCGTCTTGACTATGCATGTGCTTCAAAAACGTTTTATTTAGCCGGGAAGTGATGTTTTTTGAACTTCCTTTCAAAACAAAATTTCATCTTATTTTCTTTCCTTACTTTCCTGTTTTTTAAGTCAGATGCAGTTGCATCCTTGCTTTGGTATTACCGAGGAGGAATAGGAGCAGGGTCATCACGTTCTTCTTGAGATGCGACAAAAATTTTGTCCGCAACCTCAAAACAGACTGAGATTTTTATTCTTTTCCTTTGTTTTTCAGATCCCTCTCACTGCTTGCGTAGCTTTTCAGCTCAGTTAAAAAGTCCTAAAAATTCCTCTTAATGCTGGGATGGCAGGAGAGATTGCACACGTTGTCTTCCAGATTAATTGACGCTTGCAATCCAGAATGCAGAACTTTTTGTTTTATCTGTTGTATGTATAATTCCACACAGCAAGGTTTATCAGTCTTCAGTGTGTGGTTTAAGGGGGGAAAAGCTTACCAACTGCGAGGAGCGATTTCTTGGCGGTTTGCCGCTGTTGAGGCATGACTTTCCTCACCGGAACGGCAGAAATTCGCACTCGCTGAGTGCTTGAGAGGGTCGAACCGTTTCTGAAGAGCAGTGCGTGCTGCAAATTTCAGTGTCCTCTCGCCATATAAGTGTGTCCTTGTATTGGAAGAAGTGAAATCGTTGCTTTTCAACTGGTATGCTTGTTTTTTAGGATTTAGCGTTTGGAAACCATTACCGTGGCAATAGAGCTGCTTAAGAGCAACAAGATGAGTCCTTTTCCAGTTTCTCTTACTGTTAAATGAGGACTGTATTCCTAAATACGTATTACAAGATTTTCTGCACCATGGGACCTGCTAGGTACTTGCATATTTTATGCTGTGATCTCTTATTATTATTACCAGCATTACTTTGTATTACTTTCTCTTCCAGGTTTGTTATAATGGCTTTTCTTCCCTTCTGTTATAACCTGGGGATGGATTACTCTTGCGTTTTTAAAGGAGAGCATCTAGCGTAATGGGGCCGTTGTCTCTAGCTGATACTTCGAAGTGATAGAGCAATGAAAATAATAATAATAATACTCAGCAAATGCATTATATCTCTAGCGATGCCGTGTTGCAAGTCTGACAACCACGTGTTTTCTAAAACTCTTGCCGTGCCTTAATCCCAGTAGTGGACTCCAGGAGCATGAAATTTGAATGACTTTCCAGATTAAGTAAAACTGACTGTTTCAGTGAACATCAGTAAACAGCATGCTGTCACCAGTCTATCCAAAGGT